CCGAACCGTTGCCATCCCTACCTCAAGCGGACCAACATAGCTGCGTGCAATATTGCATGGCCTCAAGCATATACCAACAGTTTGGTCCTCATAACCAAAATGCGAGCTATCAATTGAATGAGCTTATGAAAGCTTCTGCCAGGCCATTATGTCAATCCCTACTGACATGCAATAATCGTCAAAAGTCTGTGACGTAAACTCTCCAGCATTATCTAGTCGAGTCGACTTGATCAGATAATCAGGGTGATGACCCCTTTACTTAATAATTTGTGCTAAGAGTTTAGCAAATGCAGCGTTGTGTGTGGACAAGCAGCAAAAATGTGACCATCGTGTCGATGCATCAACCAACACCATAAAGTATCTAAATGGTTCGCATGTTGGTTGCATAGGTCCACAAATATCCCCTTGAATCCTCTGAAGAAACATAGGAGGGTCGTGAATGATCTTTGTATGTAAGGGTTGAGTATTCAACTTCCCTAAAGAACACGCTTTGCATGGCGGGAATCTAACATAGGGAGGTAACCAATGCCCATGCGATGATTTAAGGATACAACGCATCATGTCACATCCGGGATGTCCCAAGTTGTCATGCCAAAGCAGCAAAAGTGCTATGGAACTTAGGAATAGGGCCGGTCACATGATGGGCTTCTATGCCGTGAATGGTTGTGATGTACAACTCACTCGAGAGACGTTCCAACTTCTCGTGAATAAGCTTCTGGCCATATTCGTAAGAACTGATACAAAGAAATTCAAAACCATTATCTTCAATGGTTTCAATATGATATTGATTATCTTGAATATCTCTAAAACTCAGCAATGTTCTTCTGGAACGTGGAGAATAGAGAGTTGTCAGAAGTGCTTTCTTGGGTATTAAGTTAGTAAAATAGTGTCGCTCACGCAAGATGGTGTGTGTGGTAGCACTATCAGCTAGACAACTAACTTCCCCACTAGACATACCTAGAAATAAATTGATTGAATTGGTCATATGCATAAATATAATTCCATTCATTCAATTTAGCAATTTGAGAAATAATATCCATCAAATAACAATCCATAGTTCAAAACAAACCAAAACCAAACAAATTATTTCAAGGACTTAGAAAAATTGTTCAAACTTAAACCATAAACCTAGAAAAATAGGAGAGAGGGGCCAGCCATTCCTAGTGGGTTTGGCCACTAGGGGTAAACACCCTAAAAACATGTCTAATTTATTCATCCATAGGAGTTGACACCTCCTGAAAATCTGATATCTCCATTAATGTAATAGCATCTTTCGAATGTTCCACATGTGCAAAGTTAGAATCACAATGGGAATGATACTTTGTAATAGCCTCAGGGGTGGCTCAACATACACGTGACCAATGATCATTTAATCCACAGCAGTAACACATGTCCATTTCAGGGGAAACTGACTGAACAAGAGCTTTTCCCTTGTTCTTGAAGTTTGGGGCCTTTGGGGCAAGTGGTGGACACTGCTAGATCACATTTCCTTCCTTGGGGCCAGCACTCTTTTGACCTTGGGCCCGTGGTTGGGCTTGTTGTCCGTTTCCACGGTCACGACAATTCTTACGTCGTTTATAGCTGCTAGAATTGGTCGCATACGCTTCAAGCGCAGCGTTTGAGCCAGTCTATCGAGCTTGATGATTCTTCATCAAAAGTTGGTTCTGTTTTTCAACGAGAAGTAGTATAGAGATCAAATCTGAAAATTTGGTGAACTTACAATATTGGTGGCATGGAAGGTCGAATAGGTCTTCTCCAGAAGATCTGATTCGGTTAATTCCACTTTACAGAACTTCAGCAGTGATCGGATTCTACAAACTTCAGAGTTGTATTCATTCACGAACTTAAAGTCTTGGAAGCGAAGATGTTGCCAGTCGTGTCTTGCTTCAGGCAAGTAGATGTCTTTCTGGTGATCGAAACGGTCGGCCACAGTAAGCCAGAAGGTGCGTGGGTCCTCCTTAACGAGGTACTCGGTCTACAGTGCATCATGGATGTGTCTTCGAATGAAGATCATTGCAGTAGCTTTCTGAGCTTCATCGACAGGTTTGTCGTTGGTAGGTGCCTTGATGATGGCTCTAATACCCTTTGTAGTCAGATGAAGCTTCATGTCTTGAACCCACTTCAGGTAGTTTCTTCCGGAGACTTCCAGAGTGGTGAAATCTAGCTTGTTCAAGTTCGACATGTCCCTAAAATGTAGGGTACAAAAAAAAATGTGATTAATCATATGGTGATCCATAGACATATATCGTATAACATTCGAGTTCTATAGACATGTATTGGTTTAATTTATGCATAAAAACTACAGGTTTCATGTGGTAAGTTTTGAATGAAAACTTCGGATTTCAAAGCCACTAAATATGAAACTACATGTTCAATTAGTTTTTATGAACGATTAGTTCATAAAGGAGAGGTTCCTGCAAGAAACACATAATGCAATAGCTGATTTAAGTGTAGTGGACTACGAAAAGATGTCAACGGTTCAAAGTATAAAAATAAATTATTGAATCGTTAATGTCCAAAAGTGATATTCAGGTCAATAATTTTGGATTCATTATCAGATTAATAGACTGCAAGTCACTTTTAATTAATTCAATAAATCGTGACCAAACAGGGTCGATCGTGGAAGCGAAAATAATAATAACATTCGGGTTAAAATTATTTAAAATGCCAAATATTAGCATTGGGTTGAAAAAGCATAGCCCAAAATGATTTGGGCTCGGGTTGGCTGCAAAAGGCAGGCCACGTGCCGAGGGTTTTGAAGCCCAGCAGCAAGTTGCTGGCTTATAAGGGCTGAGGGTTTCGATTCGGGTTAAGCGCAACCCAGCAGACAGGGCTGAGGTAAGTGGGCCCAGGCGCAGGGTAAGGCCCAGCAACCTAATGCTGCTGGCAATGCGGGCCGGGTTCACAAGGACAAGCCCAGGAAGGTTGCGGGCTTACTTAGGGAGCAGGCTGGGACTTCAAGCCCATGCAGGTTAACCAGGCCGAAGGCCTGGGGGTGTCTATGTGGTTGTAGCAAGGCCCAAAGGGTTGTTGCCGTGGTGGTGCCACAGTAGTGGCGCGGCGGTGGTGCCGCATGGTGCCCAACGCCATATTTTTTTTCTGTTCGACATGGTTAGGGTTTGAAAACCCCTAGAATTGCTTCTAATTTATTTATATGTTTTGACTCACAATTCCACATAGCAATTTTTAATTGCGTAATGCATGAAACAAATATATATATATATGGATAAATATATGAACATATACAATATATATCGTAAGGAAAATATAAACATAAAGGGGTTCATGTATCACAGGGAATGTTTTCATGCTTCGTAGACGTTTCAAATATCTTCCTTTATTTTAAGCGTACTTGATTAGCAGAAAACAAAGAAGGGCCTTTAAATTTTGTGGAAGATAGCCACCTCCTACAATTCGTCAATTCTTCAGCTTCTGGCAAGAGCGTGCTGATAACATGTTATAGGCCTATTTGATTGAACTAATCTAAGGGATTAGAGAGAGAGAGGGGGAGCCGGCGGTAGCAAGAGGGAAGATAGTGATTTAATTGTGAGGTGTGTTTGTATCACCCCTATTGTGTCTTTATTTATAGTAGTAGGATAGGCAAAAACCTTACCCTTTTAGGATTACAACTCTTAATAGGTAATCAACTCCTAATATAAATATAAGAGATATTCCTAGATCTACTAGGATTTACACAATCACATGTCTATTCTAAATATAACTGCAACACATCAAGTATTTTTCAAAAAAAAAAAAAAAAAATCAAGAATCAATTGAATTAAATTTTAAATCGATCCGATTCATGCAAAATTGCAAACAATCAAGCTTTACTTCTGAACAAACAATTCAACACCCCTCTATTTATCTAATTGTTTAGGGTGCATTTTTGCTCACCCACACTAACTATAGGGCATGTTCACCACCCCTTCTAATGCTTGCCACATGTAATCCACACTAACCCTAGTTAAGCCTAATTTTTAAAAATTTTCTACTCTAATTAATAGGAGAGAGAATCCTAGTTTACTCAATTACTTCCATATTTATTCTTTCTTCTTCTTACTTTTTATTAAAACTTGTATGTACGCATCTTCTGAGTTTTTCATTGTTCTTGTCGAAAGCTAAACCAACAGATTGGATGAACCGACTTATTTTCTCCAATTAGAAAAGGTATGTAGCTCCCTTTTATTTGCTTTTTAGGATTATTAGGGTTTTCATATATATGCTTTTTTGGATTATTATAGGGTGTCAATTTAATACAATATTAAGTAATTTGAAGCTTATACAGATAGAACACCATGATGACGAGTTTCAGACTCCATCTTCCAATGATGCAAAGAACCAGTTGATTTTATACACTTAGATTCAAATTTCGAAATCTTTGAAGCCTTGGATCAAAATGATGAAAAATGAGATTTTACAAGCAAAGTTGGAGATAATTCCTTGGGATGACTTTTGATAGTTGGAGACAAATAGCAGGTTCTTCCAATCAGACGGAGTAGGTTTCAACAAGAAGAATGAAAAACCCACAAGATTCGTGCGAATTGTCTATTTGTATTAAAAAAGAAGAGTTTTAATAAAGGAAGTCTTAATGAAACACTCCTGGCTGTTCATTTTTAACATTAAGGACATTTTTTTGCTAAAAAATCACTCTTGGTATTAATCACTTACACCTTTATTTTGTCCTTTTGATTAAAACTAAAGCGTTTAAAGATTTTTTTGTTAGTTTTCATTTTAATAAAATATAAGTAGAAGGAAGGATAAATAAGAAAGTAATTGACTAAAAGTAAGATTTCCTTTCCTATTAGTTAAAGCAGAAAAAATTAAAAAAAAATTAAGTGTAACTGGGGTTAGTGTGAATTACACGTGACAAGCATTAGAAGGGTAATGAGCATACCCTATAGCTAGAGTATGTGAGCAAAAATGCACCCTCGAAAAGAAATAGAAGTACATGCTACAAAATTAAATTATATATACTAAAACTCAGTTTTCTAATATTGTTCATTAAAAACCTTGAAACTTAAAGGCACAATCTGCATGTCGTTAGAAACTACTTGAGCAGCCGCGATCTCAGGTAATTTACTCTTTTGTGTGTATTGGGTTGGTGAGTTATTGATAAAATCTGAAATGACTTGAAGATTTGATTTGGGTTTTGCACGTTTGTAGTTTTTAAAATTATGGTTTGTTTTTGGGACTGGAATTTGGATTATACATGATTTTTTAAAAAAAAATCATATTTATATGATTTGAGTTTAATTCGGGAAAATTATCATCTATGTTGTATATTTCAAAACTCAGTTATTGGTTGAGAAGTGTCGCTTCATCAGTATCGGGAAGCTTTCTTGAAATAACGGTGTCAATGACCCTGAGTTGGTCTGTTTTGGTTTTGGTTACTTCTTTTTTCAATTGGTTTGGGATTTTTTTATGTTTGGAGTTCTTTTGCTGTAATATTGTTTTCAATTCATCTGGAATTCAGTTTATGTTATGGGTTGCTATGTTTCTGCATTTAATTTGGTGTTTGAATGTTTATGTTACAGTTGTCATCGATTTTCTTAAAGAATTAATCCAAGTGATGATGCCATTTTTTATATATGTTTAAATGTGAACACTTTACAGATTTTCAGTTTCAAAGAATGAGATGATGAATTTAAGCTATTGTGGTGGAAAATTTCAGATCATCTCATGCAACCCCACCACCTGTTAAAAAATCCGTCCTTTTGCTCCGTCTTGTTCATCTCAAATCATCTCGTCCAAGTTGAATTAGTTGCTGCGAGGATCCAAGTCTGTCGCCAAGAAGCTCTTCGATACAGTTTTCCAAGCTTGCCTACGTGATTTTACCCGTTGATAGCCAAACGTCGATGTGAAGATTGCAGTGTTGATGGCAGCCGCCAGGGAGAGGGAGAAAGCAGCTGGGTAAAAAACGTGGACCCCTTTTTTCTTTTTTTAATAATAATTTTTTCTCTTTGCTACTTCACAAGAAATGTGGGGTCCACATCATTTAATGGTGAAATTAAAAGGAAACTTAACATATGTATGAGACTGAAATGAAAATTAAGTAAATGTATGAGATGTAAATGTTTAAAGATGTATGAAGTTGCAATTGCAATCAAATGGGTGCGTGCAACATATAATTTACCCTATCATCTATATCTAGGGTTTTTTTAGCCAAAATGGTCTACGAGATTGTCATAACTCCTCACTTTGATTCCTGACGTTGAAAATTAAAATGTTCTTTGAGTTTGTCCATTGTGGTCCTTTCGCTAAAAAAATCTGTTAAATGAAAAAGCAAATGGAGGGGTTTATTGGACAAATAATTAACAGAGGTTCTTCACAATATCCCAAATGATTGACAATAGATAAACTATAATTCAGTGCTCAACGTTGGAAGAAGTTCGGAAGGTTCCATTATATTAAGCGAAACTAAGCGAGTGAAGGATCCAATCCAAATATTTTGCAATGCACTGAAGTGTGGAATGCACCGGACCGGCACACTACACGACTGGAATTGCGTGATACGGTTTCAACAGTCTCACTCAACCGTGCATTGGTCTATTTGTCCATGGCTTTCATTATGGCCAACTTTCACTTTCGTTCTTTCCGAATCCAAGTTCCATGCTAATGAAATAACGACATGTGGACAAAACTACTTATATGTGCCTTTATTTCATTGAAACAAAACACCACCGCTGCAGTATATCTTCTCCACTTTTGGATGTCATACTATACACTTGCAAACTTGACCATTATAAAAGTCTCATGACAAGAGCAGGAACAGGCAATCCACGAGCTCAAGGGCAAAACCACTCTTACCACAAAGCACAAGGGAAGCGGCAAAAAAGTAATAAACAAACAACCTCATACAAACAGCGCATTAACTTCCATTTATTCACTCTGAAAATCCAGGTCATTGTTTAGAAAGCAACAGGAAATGCCGAACTCTCATCCAGCCCGGCTTACATTCATGATAGAAAACTGGGCAGTACATGCCATTTGTCATACCACACTTCTTCACCAGTAAACAAACCAAACACCTGGGCAACTACATAGGTTTTCAGTACTAAACAAGACGAGACAGAAAAATCCGCACAGCTGCAGGTTGTGATACCACACATAAAACGGTCTATACATAAAGACCTGTTAAAGAAGCTCATCGCCTTCAATCATCCCGCAACTTTCCTTGAATAGGTTCTACCAGGTTGAATCTCTTGAACGGGCCTGAGATACAAGTTTCCAGACTCACCAATCCACTCGACTCCAGCCTTCATGGGAGGGGGCCGCATCTGCTGCCCGACAGTCTGCCTGCTATGACCAATTGTCATATTTGCCAGCTTCTCAGATGTATCTGAAACTCCGCGTGCAACCCTTACCTTGTTCACAGAAGCTGTGCCAGCCAACATTGTATTCTCAGTTAAATAGAAAGTCAAATAACAAGCACTCTGACAAAACAAAAACCAAAAAAAAAAATCCAGGACCAGGGGATTGAGAAATAAAACTAAAATCCAAAGAAAAAAAGACAACATCACGCATTCTTGTGGTTCATAAATGTGATCGGTTTGGATATTAAATCGAAAACAATTCAAGAAAGCAACATAATCAAATTCCTTCTAGTCATGGAACTTACTAGGACTGCTTTTTCCCGGTGGTCGATATTTCTGCTGCTGCTTGGGGGAGCTTTTCAAATATTTTTCGTTCTTTTTCGCATCCTTAAATCATAAAGATGAGGAAATTATTTAAAAGGAACAAGAAAATGAGGTATGTCCACGTTTGGCATAAGCACACAATCAAATTAAACAGATAAAAGTAACATGTGCTCTCACCTGGTTAGCCATATCCAGTTTCCGCTGCACCCCTGCAAAGCCAGTTCTTACATAATGAGAATTCATCTAGAGAATTACCAGTTCTTTCGACAAAAGGATGGCAATATTTCCTCCACTAAGAACTATAGAACTAGAATTTTTAAATAGACAAAAAGCTAAGAGCTTGTTTGGTAGTCTACTTAAATTCAACTTTTTAATTTTCAAGTTTTAGGCCTTAAAAACTTGTTTGGTATTGACTATTTTCAAAAAAAGAACTCAAGGCTAACTCAAAAATATAGTCTATTCTCTAAAAACACATAAAGTGAGTTTTTTGAGTTTTTAAACTTAAACTCACTCGTTTCTTCTCTCTCTCTTCCCCTCCCACTCCAAATCTCTCTCTCTTTTATTCTCTCTCGCCCATCTTTTTCTTCTTTTTCTACCTTTTTCGTCTCTCCTCCAATCCGCTGTCTTCATTCTCTCGGTTATTTTTCTCACTCCTCTTCCTCTCTGTCTCCTCCGATCCTCTCACTTCTTTCTCTTTCCTCCAATCATCTCTTACTTTATTTCCTCCTCTATCCTCTCTCTCTCAGACCCCCTCTTTTTGGATCTCTTTGTCCAGTTTAAGTTGTATGATTTAAAATTTTTAAATCGCATACCAAACAAGTTTTTTAGTCTTAAAGAAAATTGTTTTCAAGAAAAATTCTCAAAAAATGTTTTGAGAAATTATAAAAAAAAAATTAAAATAAGATACCAAAAAAGCCCTAAATTTTATAAGGATATTCTTGAGGAGAAATAATTTTTTCTGACCACAAGGGTTAGTACAAGAAAAACCTACGACAACACCACCTGGTGAAAAGACTCAGTGGAGTAATTTACAACAACTGCAGATATTAATAAATACAGAACAAAAAAATAAAAAATAAAAAGCAGCATTTAAAGTCTAAATAAACTCCACAGAACAATATCCAACCAACCTGTGTCTACAGAGGCATGCAACTTGGGGGAAGGGAAGTTGCTAGCAAGTTTTGAATGAGATACAGTCCCAGAAAGTCTTCTAGCACTTTGCTGCTCCACTCCCCTTGCTCCAGCTGTGCAATATAATACAAATAAATTTATATCCGACATTACTTGAACACCTAAATAACAATCTCAAAGCTGATGCACTTCCATAAATTATCAGATGGACGAACCTATTGGATGCATCCTAGCAACAGTTGATCTGGAACGAAGGGATGGAGGAACAGAATAGCAACTCTGCCACATGAAAGGAAGTACAAGTTAGAATACACAATATTTGCAGACCCCAATTCATCATAGGAAGTTGCAGTTACTGTATTTTGTTCCAATACACTACCTGGAAGAAACGATGTTGGAGGGCCTCTGCAGCAGTTGGCCTCTTGGAAGGGTCCCAAGAACAAAGTGACTACAGCAAAAGGGAAGGAAAAACATAAATCACAGTAGTAGACATTCTTTAAACAAAGTCACCACGTGGGCTGAGTTGAGGAGTAGGGAGGATGGAATAAGAAACAGCTACAGTAAATACTATATAGGACTTACTGTTATCAGGCTGATTGCACCGTCACTAGCTGATGGAATCCGTGTAGAGAGATCAGCACCAGCAAACTGCAATGTTCAAAGATACAAAACCAACTTAATATATATGGTTGTTTTTTCAAGTATGGGAACAACATAATCTTATGTTTCTACTAATACTAGAAAATAAGAACGCAGATAAAATTACATCCTAAATTTGCATGCAGCTTTAAACTGTCTAATAAATCTCTCATAAAATACGATGCAGCAATGACAACAGTCTGCTAAAAGTGAGAATGTAAAAACCATTCCCCCAAGAGATTTCTGTATAATTCTATGCACCTCAGAGAACGCACCAAAAATGCAAGAGAAAAAACAGAACAAACAAATACGAGGAAATGCGTGATGCAAAATCAGAAACAACTGACCTGAGGAAATTGGTAGTTGATATCCCTTGCAAGGCGAAGCCCGTCAGCCCATAAGTCCTTGGTTGGGCTTCCAATCACACTGCAAATTTTATATATCTCATCTGCTTCACTGCAAGAACAGTGGAAGAGGGAGGCGAAGGTGAGAACATTTAAAATAAACCAACTTATATTAGTCGCTAAATTATTAGCAAAACTGCCGCTAATATCTTCCAAAACGCATCTAAGTTAATTAAACAATTACTGCAAAGATTCAAAATTCTATCCTATGGGAAGCAAACCACTTGATGGTTAGGGAGTATGGAATACATACCTAATACCTGGAAATAAAGGGCGGAGAGAAAACAACTCAGCCATTATAGCACCCATTGCCCACATATCTGACAGTCAGAATAAAAACTAATAATTTAAGAAACCAATTCACAAAGAGCAAAAATTCGAAACTTTAAACATAAAAACTCACCAACTTTTGAGCTATACAGGTATGACTGAAGCAGCACTTCGGGCGCTCGATACCTAGCAGACCCACATTCTAGAGTCAATAACTTACAGCAACATATTAACACCCAAGCAGAGATAACTTATTACCAGAACTGTAAGAAAAATTAAATTAACACCCACCACCGTGTCGACACGTATTCTGTATATGGTGGTTGTGAATTGATTTCCCGAGCAAGTCCAAAATCAGCAATTTTGATGACATCTTTGGTAACCAATAAGTTCTCTGCAAAGGAGTGAATGTATACGTACAATTATGTCAGTCTGATAGCAGAAGAAAAATCAAACACAACAGGTGACAGCCTGAACGACTTAATCACAAACCATATAAGCAAAGAAATTGATTGAGGAAAGAAAATAACCACACGAAAAAAGTAAAAATAAAATTTGAGAAGATTTTGCCACATGGGGATTCAGAATATGAGAGGAAAAAAAGAAAAAGAAAAAAAAAACTATACACAAATGCAAGAAAGTATAGCAAGGGCATGCAAGCAGCAGTGATTGAAGACAAGGACAGAAAAAAGAAAAGACAAACAAAACAAAGTATATAACACTTTTGGCATTCTGAATATCATGTATACCTTCACTTCTCCAAATTTTTATTCAGCCCTTCCGCTACTCTTTGAACATTTTACCCACTCAACCGAGGTTATGGATAATAATTGTAACAGTTACCTGGCTTAAGGTCGCGATGAAAATATCCACGCTGATGCATGTAAGCAAGGCCTTGGAAAACTTGAAAACACCAATTTCTGACTTCAGCTTCAGGGAAAAGCTTTTCCTTATCTTTCATAAGTTGATACAAGTTGAACTCCTGCAATGTACATATGACAACACCGAATATCAACAGTGACTCTTATCAACGGTATCATAGTAAATAATATCAAGTTTGCCAACTATACCCTTACCATGTATTCAAACACGAAGTACAACATGTCATTTTCTCTGATGACTTCCTTGAGCTTCACAATATTTTGATGATTCATTCTACGCAATGACTGCATGGAGAGGAAATGATATAATTAAAAAGTATACGTCATACCAGGATATTAATAAAGAGGAGGTAGTACGTTAAAACACCTTCACTTCCCGTAGACTTACGCACTCCTCCCATGAAAAATAACTTTTCTTCATTTTTTTAATTGCAACCTGTAAATTGTCCAACTTATTATGAACAGAACAAAATGTAAAGCACTAAATACATTCCAAAGGGAATGGGAAACGGAAAATAAAACACTTACGACTTCACCAGTTTGCTTATTAATAGCTCGCCAGACAGTCCCAAATGTGCCATCACCAACTTCCTTTATTAACTTGTACCTAGAGTAACCACATACTTATTTATTAGTATGAATACAAACAGATAAACCTAAACTCCCCAGTAAACACTCACCTCTCCATTCTTCCTGTGGAACACAAAGCAGGTCGTTCTTTATTCAGTGAAAGCATAAAGACTCAAGATAAATGGAATTTATCTTCAGAAGATGATCCTTAAAATACAATGTATGATATCAACAACTGCCTTGCTGGTCCAGCTGAATCAAACCATCAATCTTCTGAGGCAACACGCACGAGCACAAAACCAGACTTATTATGATGGATAGGCTGCACGGCCTTATTCATTGCTAACTCCAGGGCATCAGGACCACAGCATGACATTAATGGAAAAAAAGGACAAGGATCACCTAACATATCGATGTTAAAAATCCAACCAGACTGATTTATCCCGCCAAAAGAAAGACTTCTAGCTCAAGATAGTGTCACCCAAGGCTTAATAAACTTAACTAAAAGCTATCTCATCTAAATTACGCAGAGATCAGTGTGGAATCTGCAGGTAACCGATATCTTGCCACTTATCATAGCACCCACCAGGAGCAACGATGAAATAATAACTTTGAAATAAACAGTTTGCACTGGTTTGGTTTGACGTAACTGATTATCTAATAATAACTATGTAGAGATCTTCTCTTCAGTCACAGATTGCCAGAATTTAACCCTGTCATAATAATCAAAGAATAAAGTTTAGGAATACTAAGCAGGCATCGAATAAAATAGTATTAAGTATAAAACTGAGTTGTATATGTCGTACCCCTGATGAAGTTTTCCCAGAAATTTCAACTGGATGTTGTATCAGCAATGCGCTATGCACTAAAGATCCAACACCTGACTCAGAAGTAACAAGCATCACGTCTCCCGTATTGATCATTTGAGAGGAACTGACCACTAAGTGCAATTAACAAAAGAAACCCGAAAAAAATCTCCAAGGACAAGAAATCTCCAGTCAAGCACTTCCTGGAAAGAAAAGACCCGGTACTGGTGGCAATTTGACCAGAAGCGCATTTGCTCCATGTCTTGAAATATATATGAAATCCCTTTAAATCTAAGCCCGGCACAACCTGAAATTAAGATTAAATGCATTGAAAGAACATCAGACAATCATGCAGACAAAGATACCAAGTAACAATTTACTGATTTTAATGGCAAGTTAAACCGAATCTCACGTAATATGGCAAATAATGATGCAAATCCAAATACTAACACAAGATAACATGTAATCATTAACACAGCTTCTTAATAGCTCTCACATAAAAATACAAAACTTCCAGCACATTTCAGAACCAAGTTCAGACAAATAAATACCACAAACCACACAACGACAACATACAACAAACTTTAAGGCACTTAAGCTGTATGCTGTATCATATAAATAAATTACTACAAAACTTAAATGTGATGTACAGATTCTTTCCTATTTCATTGTTGATACGCATACCCAGGCCAACAAATGATTTCCGATCCTAAGCCGCATGCTACAAAATCACAACTTTGGTAATAGGATAACCTAAAGTCACAAAGGAACATCAGGGACAAAGTACATAGACCCCCACGATACGGTCATGAATTTCAACAATAATTTGTATAACCTCTAAGCCACCAAATGACCTTCAGCACAAAATTGGAATGTAGGAAAGGAAGGAAGAAAAACCAAAACCAGAAACAAGTCTAGAAAAAATTGTTCCGGTTAACTTTGAGGTGCAGCAAATTACAGTTTTAGCCACAATACACTTTTAGCTAATGCTATAACCCAAGTGATCAATAACATTAGCAATTTATACAAGAGAACACAAACAGAATACAACCAATGAAAATTTACAAACAAATAAATAAAAGCCTCAAATTACCAATTGGAGTTAAGATTAACAAAAATAAAAACCAATATAAGCCGCGATATATCTCTGTTACATAATACAATCAGAAAAAAAAAATCACCAAACCTTAGAGCATGTTTGGTACTCTACTTGAATTCAACTTTTTAAACTCAAAAACAATTTTCAAGTTTTAGGCCTTAAAAACTTGTTTGGTATGACTATTTTAAAAAACGGAACTCAAGACTAACCAAAAAATATAGTCTATTATCTAAAAACACAAAAAATGAGTTTTTAGAGTTTTTAAACTTAAAACTCACTCCTTTCTTTTCTCTTCATCCTCCCCTCTCACTCCAAATCTCTCTCTCTCTCTTCTTCTTTCTCTCTCCCCCTTCTCTTTTTTTTTTTTTTTACCTTTTTCGTCTCTCCTCCAATTCGCTCTCTTCATTCTTTCGATTTTTTCTCTCACTCTTCTTCCTCTCTATCTCCTCCAATTCTCTCACTTCTTTCTCTTTCCTCCAATCATCTCTTACTTTCTTTCCTCCTCTCTCCTCTTTCTCTCTCAACCCCTTTTTTTTTTATCTCTTTGTCCAGTTTAAATTGTAAGATTTAAAATTTTTAAATCGCATACCAAAAATGTTTTTGAATCTTAAAGAAAATTGTTTTCAAGAAAAATTCTTAAGAAATGTTTTGAGAAATTATAAAAAATTTCAAATAGAATACCAAACAAGCCCTTAATAACCCAGAGGATGAAAACCCTACAAGCCCCAAAATAGTCAAACTCTGAACCCCCTTCATTTCCCAGAACTTCTCAGCAACCAAACATACTTCAAACCGAAATCGAAGAATCACATCCAGCCGAATACGTTAAAAAGCTAACCCTAATCCTAAAATCCCAAAATCCCAAAACAGAAATCGAAAAAAATCGCGATACAATCAACAAGGAACAAAACCAGAATATCCAAAACAAACAGAATAAAATTAATTACAAAACAAATCAAATTCAGAATTAAATCTAAACAAGAAGGGAAAATAAATTATAGGGGATCAGATCGGGAGAAAAGGAATCGAACCTGAAAGCCAAGCGGCATAACAACCGTCGCCTAGGACGGGAGGGGGTGGAATCCAGAGTTTCTTTTATGTCAAACCGACTTCGCTTAAACCCACCGAATTCTGATATGCTGCCACACAGAGAGATGAGAGAGAGAGAGAGAGAGAGCGATGAGAGAGAATGAAAGCCTTCGTGCCAACCAAGGAATTTACGTAATTTCTGCTTCCGTTTCGGCTATTTAGAGCTCCACTCCACGTTCTCACGGAGGCAAGGGATATTCTTGTCCTTTTATTGCGTGCTTGATCTTTTATGGGTCCTCTTTCTTTTTTAAGCTAATTGTTTGGTGGGTTGGATTTTTCCCCTTTTTTTTTTTTTTTTTTTTTCAAATACATCGATATATTTTTACATTAAGGATTAGATTTTTTTCTTTCTTTGTTGTACTTTTTTTTTTTTTTCAATACATCGATATATTTTTACATCGATAATATTTGCGTAGAGGGAGATTCTAATCACTTGCACTATTCCCTGAAGATTGAGACCAATCATTGACAATATTCGATAAATGGCTTCTTCCTTCCACTGTGTTAAAGTGGAAGCATATCTTTCGGGAAGCTGATATTGGTCTTTTTATTTTCGAGCAGGGAAAAAAAAAAAAAAATACTAGACAGAGAAACTAGTCGACACCAGAATTAAACTTGATTCTCTCTCTCTCTTGTAGACATGAGCATCCTTTGTTTCCTTCACTTGAATTGAACCAGTAAGCACCAATAACAGTTCAACAGAAGCGGTAGATTTCATTTAAGAAACAAAGAATCCTTCGTTCCTTTTTCTTTTTCTTTCTTGTTTTTTTGGTACACACACACACCTTGCACATATTCAAATCATCGGATCACAGCTTGACGCGTAAAGAGAACAAATTATGAAAAATGGGAAAAGGGCAAAGATGAAAGATGAATTGTTCCAAGTACATGTTGACGCCTTATAAAGAATATATCTATACGCAAAGCCCTTGTGGTTGATTGACTACCTTATTGGGTAACCGAGTCTTCAATGACAAATTTGAGTATTCTCGGCTTCTTATAGAATGAACTAATTCTCTGTGAATGGTATTCAACTTGCTTCTTTTGCTTCTATTCCTATTTCTGTCCCTCCAAGAAATCAGCTTCCTTTGGGTTTCTCTGTTCATCACCTGGAAGTTCGATTCGATGAATACCAGAGTTTTTTCTGGCATATCAATATTTTCTCCTTCTCAATCCCATACTCAGTATCTTCTTTGCGGCATCCCCATCTCATCCCTTTGGCAATAGCCGCAACAGCATCCACTAAGTAGCTCGATTCTCGAACTATTGCATAGCCATTAGGTCGCAGGATTCGGTCCATCTCTAAGAGCACATATTTCATTTCGCATCTGCCCAAGTTTACTATTATTAGAACCATTTATACAGTTGATTACCAACTCTGCATGTGTTGTGCACTTCCTATGTTGAATTAGGCAAGAGTGCATAAAAACTTAACGTCTAAGATTAACTAGTTAATTCAATATGCCGAATTAACATAATTTTTCAAAATATATTTCATGTGCCCAAATAAAGACAAGCCCATTTTTCACCTGTGGCTTTCGGCAGTAAAGAAGCCATCAAGATGTAGAAGATCATAAGTTCGAGGATAAGTAGAAAAAGCTTCACACCTGCCAAAAGAGAACAAATAAATCCACACAAAAACCACAGGATTTTATAACAATGACCAAAATGAGAGGTGCACCCAAAGTATGCTATTTATGCAGATCAAAGCCTTAATGCCCATATAAATGAATTTCAAATTACCAATCATGGAAAGTTCCGATAAGGCCTCGATCATAGACCACAGGTAATGTATTTGCAGCATAGGAAGAGACGACATTCATGACCCACAAGGGATATTCAATCGTGGCTGCGGCAAAACCACCATATACCGTATTCATGTCCATAACATTTCTGATCTTATCTGTTCCAATTGCCGGGAGCAACTTTTTGTAATGCTTCATTCGAACCCTCCAATTTCTGTCATCACGCTTGAAAGCACTAGCACTCCCACCATGCACATCAGATATACGCTCTGGTGCAACATGCAACCGCTCTGGCCATCGAGGGATGGCTTTCAAAGCTGACTTTTTTAGCTTTGGGTCTGGAACTACAACACAAGAGCGTAATGGAGTGTACCATCCTGAATCTGGTTCAAGGCTATCATCACACTTTGCAGGATAGGTGTCTGGCTCAGAAAGTTTATTGTAGCAACTGCTGTCTGACTGTTTCTGCCAAACAGCAATATCATCCTTCTTGTTGTACAATTTAAAGCACAGTGAAGTTAGCAGTTCTTGCAACTTTTCATAATCTGATTTCTGCTCTTCTATGGTTGTGTTCCACCCACGCCAGTGGTTTTCGTAGTTGACAGGTGGACCAGACAGGACCCAGAAACCTCCAGGACGGAGTATACGATGAATTTCTAGAAGGTAAATTCCACCTGACAGCAGGACACTAACCATTAGCACAACTGGTAACACCACCGCCAACCCCCAAACTTTAAAAGATAAATAAAAGTGATAAACAAGATGAGAGAAAGGAGAAGAAAGCATTTTTGATTATATGATATCCTACAAAAGAAGTTCCAATCTTATGCAAGAAATTACAGTTCACAACTGAACCGTGGAAATTTTCCCTAAAAATGATAACAGAAAAATAGGAATTTGGTGGATGCAAATTGTCTAAAGTTGGTGCTATTTATCATTTCTACTGCCCTTATGGAAAAAAAAAATCTCCAAGTTCCAAGTTCCAGCAGCTGGACATTAAGCTCTATAAAATGAATTATATTCTTTAGAACTGAAAGATTTTTTAAACAATTTCATAGAAGAAATACCAAATTCCGTCCATGGGATGAGGCATCTTGAGCAGTGAGCCATATCAAATGAGTTTGAAGGGAAAGGAAGTCTCTGTGTAGAAATGATGCCAAGAATAGCAGGAATTCCACGCTCCAGAGCAAACTGAACCTGAGCTTCATGATTATCTCTTGGGGCGAGAGAAACAGTTAAAATCCCACGGTCTAACAAATCACCTCCCCAACTTGCAACCTAGAAATTATACAATTAAAGAGGTTAACCTTTGTAGATTCTCACAACTTTAATTACTTAGCAGTTTGTGCTGCTTCAAGCACAATAAGGAAATAGATTATTACATTAGTAAATAAATTTCAATCATGAAATAGGGAAAGAAAGGTGCGATGAAATTTAAACTTGCATTTTACTAATATCAAAAAGGCAAAATGCTTTCACTCACCAGAAATTTTCAGCTAAATTTGAACATGATAAATCAGGAAAATGTAAAAGAGGATGAGAGATGGACTCACCCCACACCCAGTATCAATGGCAGTTCGAACAGTCCCATCTTTCATTTCTGGAATAAGATCTTGCATCAAATCGACATATGCAGAAACGCCTCTAGGAAACATAGTTCCCCCACCAGGAAAGAAAAACTTATCCCCTTCTTTTCTCAGCCAATTCTGATTGGACTTCTGTTTGTTAATCCAATCATATGGCACATTCCTGAAACCAAATCCACATGGTAAATTCAGTGAAACTTTTAACTCTTTTTAGGGAAAAATAATAATTGAGACTTAACTGGAAACTTTTGACTGTACATAGGTCTTAGGCATCAAGCTGTCAACTATTTACCTGTACCAACATTCATCCCTGCTATTTGGCCATCTGATTGGTAGCTTGTAGCCATCTGGAGGTGGAACTAAGCATTCTTTCCTCTCAAATACTGAAGGGCAGTGCCGTTCCATAAAAGTAAGCCGATGAAGACCATACTTTCTCCACCTCTGTACAATAAGCAGCCACAATCTGATAAGCATCTAGCAGTGTGTAAATTCCAAAAAAGGATAAAGTACCATAAAAATGATTAAGCAGTTACCCTTGGATCCGTGCACGGGGTGTAGTCTTGATAGTCACTGCTGCATTCAGCAAAGGTCACAGGTTTTACATGGAGAGATGATTGAACTGCCTTTGTGACATCTTCGACCTTGACAGGCTCAATTTTGTTCTTCTCAGAGCAGAAGATTCCACCAAGATAGAATGAAAACCCGCATAGCAAAACAAACAAGATTGTCATAGGGACAATCCTGGTACCTTGGGTTCCCGGTTTTCCATCTTTATGTTTCATCATCTCAGAAATTATTAACTACCTGCACACATACAAGGCTAGATATCTTCATGATTGTGGGATATACGATTTAAAATAATACTGATCTGCTACGATTCACCGCAAAGAGCACGCACAATTTTATTCATGTAATCAGGCACTCAAACCAGACCGGTCACAAGCTACAAGGGATTTATTTTGTTCCTCAAAGGCAACTTCTTCTACATTTACAAACCAACTTCACTAAAAGAAACACATGTTCAATTAAAGAGAACCTATAAACCAATCTTAAACCTTGACCGAAAAAAAAAAAAAGAAAAAAGAAACATATGACTCAAATATTAAACACGGGAAGCACAAAATACGTTGTGGATCACACACAGAAAAGGTGAGACTCAAATTCGGATCGATCCAGATCCAGCTCATGGATAGCAACTGCACTAAATTCACCAAAAAAAGTAACGCAGAAAACATAAACGACTGGAATGATGGCAACTACCGACACTTTCTACTTTCCATGTCAAACCTCCCTTATGTCTTTCACATGGTAATGGGCCCTAACTACATCAAACTCCACCTTTCCTGTATTTTTCACTTCCCACTGAGCCAGAATGGCCAACCAAATATCAATCAAGCCATGGAAATCAAGAAAAGCAAAGTATTCAATAATTTCATCATTTCTTGAAGCCTAAGAAATGTTTTTTATGCATGATTTATCGTAACCACTGCTTGCCAATCAGCTACTGCTTCCTTTCTCAATCATCAAATTGCTACATTATATGACCTCATATCAAAGAAACAAACAAACGCTCAAAATCATGGCAAGAAATGCACCTCAATTTCGTCGAAACGAAGCAAAAAGAAAAACCAAAAGATTAAGTGTTGAAGGCTGATTGCAGGCCTCCGAGTGCTTCATATTCATACAAAAGAAAAGGAAAGGCAGATCAAAACTACCCATTTGCCAAAAAGATTTACCAAGCATTGTATAAAAAATAAAATAAAATAAAAACGAGAAAACCCCAA